TAAAAATACTTATAAATGTATTCAAATAAGTTTATAATAGAGTAATAAAATAAAATAAAAATAATAATATTCTCTCTATTCTCTATTATAAAAAATACATATTTTTATTTTTAAATACAAATAAATTTTGACTATTTTTTATCTCATTTAACGATATTTTTTTATAAAATATTTATCTTTTAATAATACATGACATTCTAGTTGCACTAATTATTTTATATTTATATCAAATATTTTTTTTTAAAATATTATTAAATTATTTTTTTAATACATATAATTAATTTTTTAACATATATAAAATTAATTTTTTATATTGTTATTTGTTTTGCTTATAACAATACAAATAGAGTATTTAGACACCCAGCATTTAATTCACAAAAAAAGAGACATCCAACATTTACAAACTCCCAAGTCACATGATTTATTTTTCTCTATCTTCTAATTATATTATATCGAGGTGTAAAAAAATATATATATTATATCACTAATCAAGTCAATTATTTGTATTTTTTTTTTCATCCTAACCCATTCAAAGTTTCAACACTTCTGTTAGAGATCTGCAGTGTTTTAGAATGTTTTTCTTATAAAAAAATATGATAAAATATCTTATCCTGTTTACAATAAATCACTCATTATAACAATAAGAGACTAATCATGTTCTATCTTATCATCGACACCGGCTTTTATAGTATTTATTTCTTCCACATTCAAACGTTTATACACGACTATTGAAATACTTTGAAATAGACTGTGGAATCATTATCAAAAACAGAATCTCTTCCTCAAAATTAATCAATGGTTGTTGTTATCCTTTTCACGCAATTGATTCATCCGATTTCAAAATCAACACTGTGCGATGTATCTGCTAGTTAAAAAAAATAATTTCACGATGTCAAGTTTATCATTTTAAAAAAATGTTAAGAAATTTAAATCATATCAGTAGTTGATTTTCAAATTTTCAATAACCGCCAGTAGGAATATACTTGTAAAAAAAGAGAGCACCTGGATCCTCCAGCCAAGCTCTCTCCAACACCTGCGCTTGCTTTACTTCTTGTCTTATTTCTCTATTATTTTTTATTTTATTTTATAGAACTAAGTCTTTGAACGAGTTTTAATTTTAGTTTAAAATTATTTTTATAATATTTATTATTATTATTTAATTATTATTAAATATTTGATCATTCATAATTATTAGTGATATTATATTAGTATATGACATTTTTAAAACATTTTTTAAGTTATTAAAATAAATATTATTTATAAGTCTTTAAGTTTTCGTAAAGGCAAATTATGAAGAGTTGATAATAAAAAAAGTTAAAATATATTTTTAATTTTCGCAATTTTACTACTTATGTTTTTAATGTTTATAATTTAAATTTTTTTAATAATATTTTTTCTTTTATTTTGATTGATTTAATGTTGTATGTTAGATATGATGTTTATTTTATTATAATTATTGTAAAATAGATTTTTGGAGTTAATTAAGGTGTTTTAAATTAGTATAGAGAGGGAGAGTTGGGATGAAAGTGTATAAATAGAAATGAGGAAGGAAGAAGTGGTGTGATAAGGAAAGGAAGGATGGTGTTGAACATAACATCCATAAAGACATCCTCGAATGGAGTGTGGGAAGGTGACAATCCTTTGGACTATGCCTTCCCACTGTTAACAGTCCAAATCATATTGGTTGTCGCCCTCAGCCGCTCCCTCGCTTTCCTCCTCAAACCTCTCCGACAACCCAAAGTCATCGCTGAGATTCTCGTATGTAATAATAGTAATATCCATCCATCCCTCTTTTTCTTTTTTGACTCATTAATGAATTAGAAATTGAACAGGGTGGAGTGTTGCTGGGCCCATCGGCACTGGGAAGAAACAAAAAGTATCTGCACCGTATATTCCCTTCATGGAGCACGCCAACGCTCGAATCAGTCGCCACCATAGGGCTTCTCTTTTTCCTCTTCCTCGTCGGTCTCGAGCTCGACCTCCGCGCCATTCGCCGCTCCGGCTCAAGAGCCTTCACCATCGCCGCCGTCGGAATCTCCCTCCCATTCGTCTGCGGCATCGGCGTCGCCCTCCTCCTCCGCAAAACCCTCCCCGGCGCCGACCAAGCCGCCTTCGCGCAGTTCCTAGTCTTCATGGGAGTCGCGCTTTCCATCACCGCCTTCCCTGTGCTCGCCCGCATCTTAGCGGAGCTCAAGCTCCTCACCACGCGCGTCGGGGAGACCGCCATGGCCGCCGCCGCCTTCAACGACGTCGCCGCGTGGATCCTCCTCGCCCTCGCCGTCGCCCTCGCCGGCGGAAGCGGAAGCGGAAGCGGAAGCAACAGCAGCAGCAAGAGCCCTCTGGTGTCGCTCTGGGTTCTTCTCTCCGGCGTTGGGTTTGTGGTGTTCATGATGGTCGTCGTTCGACCATTGATGAAGGTGGTTGCGCGGAGAGGCGAAAACGAAAACGAAAACGAGGCCGTTGGCGAGGTTTACGTGTGTTTGACTCTGGCGGGGGTTTTGGTGTCGGGATTCGTGACGGATTTCATTGGGATCCACGCCATATTCGGGGCGTTTGTGTTTGGGTTAACTGTTCCGAAGGAGGGGAACATGGCGAAGAGGTTGGTGGAGAGGATCGAGGATTTTGTCTTGGGTTTGTTGTTACCTCTCTACTTTGCTTCTAGCGGGTTGAAAACGGACGTAACTAGCATACGTGGCGCTTCCGCATGGGGGCTTCTGGTTGTCGTGATATTCACGGCCTGTGCTGGGAAAATTCTAGGCACCTTCGTTGTGGCCATGTTCTGCATGATACCCGTTAGGGAATCGCTCACACTTGGCGTCCTCATGAACACCAAAGGCCTTGTAGAGCTTATCGTCCTCAACATTGGAAAAGAAAAAAAGGTACGTACCTCACTTTTACTACTAGTTTAAAACCTATATTTCTTTACCCCTTTATGTCCAATTCTACCTTGCTTATGGAAGCCGTGTAAGATGGGAAAGTTTGATCAACCCACTGACTAGTCCAATTGCATGTCTTTTCCATCCATACGATTTCTTCATTTCTAAGGGCCAACTTTAAAAAAACATGGGAACGTTGAAATGTCGTCTCCTGTACTATTATAGTAATCAACACTCTTTACTTACAAACACCTCTTTAATATTTATCATTTTTCTCTATCTCTTTCAATCAAATTAGTTTTTATGGAATTATGTCATTCATTATACTAATATTTCTAGGTATGGAATAGGTTTTTTTGTTTATCATGCCTAGTTCTTTCTTGTCCACGTACGATTTCATCCAACTAACACCTATTTTTGATAAAACAAATACAAAGCATTGCGCCGCCTAACTTTCCAAAAATAGACGTGTTGGGTTGATAAAAAAAAATAAAAAACAGACGTGTTGGTGTGTTAAGTACAAAACATATATAACCCAAAGCGTGTGGTTCAGCGGTAGGGGTTGATCCACGCTTAAGCAAGGTCAGGGGTTCGAATCCTACCTTGTGTATGCAGCCGCGTTAAATCTTGGGGCCAGCTATCCCACCCTTTGAGCATATATAACATATATATAACATCCTTTCAGCATAGTTTTAAAATTCAGATCGGTCATTGAACCGGTTAAGGTACTAGATTAGTGGGTCAAAGGTTGAACTGATGAGTCACTAGTTAAACCGCATGACTCGATTTTTATTTATTTTTATTAAAAAAATATTCATATTAAATATATTTTATACTTATAAATTTTAATAAATTCATATCTTATTTTAAATTTCAATTTTTTTATCTTATTTAAAATTATTTTTATTTTGTAAAAAAATACATAAAAAAATTACATGTTAAACTGTATACTAATACAAATTTAAAATATAAATAATATGTACATATATAATATACTTGCAATTGATATCACAAAATAATATACATAAACTATTAAAATAATATAAATAATATGTACAAAAACACTATATTTGAATGTATAATTTATATTTAAAATAAATATACATAAACTATTAAACATATAAATTATATTTTAGATTTATGATAAATAATTTGTATTGTAAAATATATTATTTATTTATTGATAATTTATCCTAAAATATTAATATTTAATTAGTAAATAATTATAATAAATAAAAAATAAATTAGATAAGAAGTTATAAAAATTTCTACAAATTTTTGTGTTGAAAAAATTTCTTAAAATACTCTCACTTAAAATAGAAATTCATGTTAATATATAAGATTTGATTCATAGGGTTGAAGTAATAATTAAATTTAATTCTAAAATTGATTTTTTTATATTAATTATGCATAATACATAAGTTTATTTACTTATATATAAGTTTAGAAATAATACCTATATAAATATAAAAATAGATACGAAAGGGAGCAAGTAGCGAGGAGCCATCGATACCCGCTCTACCCGTTAAAACCTCTAGTGATAAGTTAGGATCTAACTTTGTCAGGCCAGATTGATTAGTGTTTTTGTTATTTACTCCTCCTGCCCACGTGCGTGCGTGTTTACTTTGATATCCTATATCGAGAATGATTCTCATTTTTAACACCCACTTTATATTTTTTATTTATTTCTCTCTTTCATTCTTATATTACGTATTATATTTAATATTTTGTTTCTTATTTTTTCCATCTTAAAATATAAACAGCCTTATTTATATGAGAAAATATTTTTCTTCGTAACTAGAATAATGATGTAAAAGCAGAATCCAGACCTAGGATGAATTCTTTCCCTCCACTTAATTAACGAAACTGTTTTCCCTCCTAAGATGAAGACACAGATGCGTACGTAAGCATAGAAAAAGAGTTAATTGTGTTGGATTTATGGTACTAGATGATGAGTTTTTGTTGACAAAGCTTCTGAGGTATTAATTATTTCACACGTACGTTACAGTTGTTGTTATAATAATATTGGGAATTTGGCATGCATGGTGTACATGTTGATTGAATTACAGGTTTTGAACGATGAAATATTTGCAATCCTAGTCCTGATGGCTCTATTCACCACCTTCATGACAACTCCAATAGTGATGGCCGTGTACAAACCAGCTGGTGGCACCCCAGTGAAGAGCCAGCGAAAGCTAGGAGCCAACAAAATGGGCAATGAGTTCCGAGTGTTGGCCTGCATCCACGGCCCAAACAACATCCCTTCTATCATAAGTTTAATCGAATCAACTCGCGGCACGAGCAAGTCCTTGATAAAGTTGTTCCTGATGCACCTCGTTGAGCTCTCAGAGCGCTCATCCTCCATCATGATGGTCCAACGCGCTCGTAAGAACGGTTTCCCTTTCTTCAACCGCCGCAACCGCCACCTCGACCTCGCTGGAGCCTTTCCAAAGGGCCAAGTCAAAGTCCGGTCAACCACCGCTATCTCCTCTCTCTCCACCATGCACGAGGACATTTGCCACGTGGCAGAGGAAAAGAGGGTCACCATCATCATCTTGCCCTTTCACAAACACTGGCGCTTAGAAGCGGATGAGGATTGCGAGAACGATAACCGCCGTCGCGTATTGGAGAACGTGGGCCACGAATGGAGAGTGGTCAACCAAAAGGTGCTTAAAAAGGCTCCTTGCTCGGTCGCAGTGTTAGTGGACCGTGGCAATTTAACTCAGACTGCAAGCCCAATTGCCGCACTGGCCCAACGAGTGTGCATCATCTTCTTTGGTGGGCCCGATGATCGCGAGGCTCTAGAATTAGGGGAGATGATGCTTCAACACCCAACAGTTGAAGTACGTGTTGTAAGGTTCGTTCAAAAGGATGGGCTGAATGGAAACGAATCAAATGACATTGTGTTAAGCTTCTCAAATGACAATAACAGTGACAAAAGTTACAGCTTCTCCACTGCTAACATGAACCGTCAGACAGAACAGGTAAATCACAAAACTTTGGTACAATATTGCAAGTATTAGAATTCAAGTTTCAACTCCACAACATTTATATTTAATGTAGACTATAGTTGTAATAATGCATTAGGATTCAGGTCATGGTAATGTACTTATAACGTTATAATTGTGTAATTACAGGAGTTGGATGAGGCGGCCATAGCAAAGTTTAGAAGCAAATTGAATGAGAAGGTGGAATATATTGAGAAGGTTAGTGAGAACATTGTGGAACAAGTAGTAGCAATAGGGAAAAGTGGGGATTATGATGTTATAGTAGTTGGGAAGGGTCGATTTCTGTCGAATATGGTGGCTGGATTGGCGAAAAGGCAAGCAGAGCACGCAGAGTTAGGACCTATTGGGGATGTTCTAACGTCGTCGGAACACGATGAGGTGACTTCATCAATATTGATTATTCAGCAACATGATGTAACAATAGTAGATGATGCTCCCATACACGAGGTGCATAATGAGGACGACAAGGTCAACGATAATGATTCATCCCATAGGGTAGCAATTTCAATAACAAACAACAAAATAGTGTAATGTTTTTTTTCCACTATATGTTTGATACCAACGGTTTGTTTCATAAAGAAGAACAAATTAGAGAGAATCAGAGGAGAAAATAAATAAATAGAGTCATAAAAAATAAGAAAATATATCACAAAAAAAAAAATAATAACTATTGTTGCTCATTGTCTTTGAAATCTAATGGATCATTGTATGAAAGGATAAGTTGAAATAATGTGCATGAAGTTCTTTGTTTGTACTATGTTTATATGTTGTTATTCTTATAATTATTTACGGTGTAAAAAGAGTTTTTTATAACATATTTTATATTTGGTCTAATTTACATGTTATAGAAATTTAGTGATGTATTGATAAAGTCGTAAATATGAAAAAGTTTTCTATGACATATGTAACTTTACATGACATAGAATATGTTTCTTTTTTTTTTTCAAATGTAATTGCACCCGTCATAGAATGTGTTGGTGAGACCAACTTTTAAGTTGATCACAACTTTTTTATGACGGGTAAAATCACACTCATTGTAAAATGTGTTGATTTTAATGATGGATGCAATTACATGCGACACCAAAAGTGCTTTCTATGTCTGGTAGAGTCACACTCGACATAGAAAGCCTCTTAATTGTCCTAAGAATTCCCAAATTGCGTATTGTTCATCAATAGGAATTACGATCAAGAGCGAAACAACTTCTCCTTCTCCCCTACTTCATTCTCTCCGATGACCAAGAGTGATACAACTTCTCCTTTTCCAGAGACTTTCGATGACACTTCAAGGTGATGTCACGTTAATTTTGACAAGCTCTAGGTTTGTTAATTTTTTCATATCTTTCTTTGTTTTAGCCTTGTAATGTCATATGACTTTTTGGTCATTAATTGAGTTCTTCTTATTGAGATTGATTATTATTTGTATTATATTAATGTACATTACGTGTCTAGTGAAATGCATGTGCCAAATTTGGGGCTTTATGGTTGTTTATATGCTACTAGTTGGGGTTATTTATCAAGGCTGACTGGGTGTTGATCTCGTGGTAGTTAATTTCGGATTGACTTGGAATTTAGTTGGTTGCTTATTTTAGGACTTTTGTGAACTCATTTGCCTCATACATATTGTTAAGTTTGTGAATTTGATGGTTAGATTTAGGCTTTATATGTTGTTGACTAAGTTGTTTTTGGGCTCTATATGTTGCTAATTTGAGTTGTTTGTGGTCTTCCTATGATGCTTAGCTATTAGGGTTAATTGAGTATTCCTAAAGTTTTTTAATTTGGTGCATACTTTGGAGCTCTAGGGAGATGATTTGACTTACATATGTTAGTTGTCAATTGTGTGACAAACTAATTTTACAAACTTGACAATATAACTGGTTTAAGGGATTATTTAAACTAGCAACAAAAAAGGCACTACACACCTCCACGAAGAAAACAAATGGGTGGTTACTTTTTAATAAAGTAAGCAGTTATTTTTTTTAAAATATGAAATAGGATTATAAATCTCTTTGAAAAAGTGGACACTAAATGAGTGTATTCTTTTTACACATTGTTATAGATAAACTCATAACATATTTTGAATTTATTTAACTAGATTATGAGTTACAAAATGTAAGTTAATTTTTTTTGTTATTGTAGTATTAACTTAAAAAATTATAGATACCCATCAACTAGTTAAGTAAACCCAAAATAATTTTTGGGTTTATTTAATTACATTATAACTTAGTAATAAAATTAGAATTAAAATATTAATTAAAAAATAATTAAGTTATAAATTTAAATTAAGTAAAAATCGTATTATTAATATAACTCATGGGAGTTTATTATATATGATTTATATATAGAAAATGGATCTATTTACTTTAAGAGTAAGTGTACTTATACTTAATTTACTTAATAACTTATGTTTTATATCGAATTTCAACAATCCAACTGTTGAATTAAATTTTTTTAATGCATATATTAAGTTTTCAAAATTTTGAAAATTTTGAAAATTATTTAATACTATGTTTCATTAATTCAAATGAATGTATAAAATATTTTTATGACTATTCGTCAATTTAAAAATAGAGAGGAAAAAAGTGGGATTGATGGTCATAATGACAACTTCCTGCTCATGCATATGTGGTTGAACGAAAAAGACTAGCACCCTTTGAAGGGTTTTGACGAAAATAATACCTAAAACTCTCTCTAAGAGCATTTGAGGTTACCAACAAAATAAAATTTAGCTATTCTTGAATTAAGTTTTCTTTTAGGTGTCCAATAAGGTTGTGTCTCACTTGAGGAGTCACAAATATGCAAGTGGCTACTTATAGGACTTGTTTGGTGAACAAATAAATAATTATTCTATTACAATATAGTATTTGTGGTGTAAATATAATATAATAATCTTATTCTATCTCTTATCATATCCTTTTGATTTAGTATACTTTTTAATCCTAAGAGAGAAGTTGGATTAGAAAATAATAAGATAGAATAAATTCTCCTTCTTCTGACTATATGCATTATGTCATATTATTTTCAAAGTAAAAATAACATTATACACTTTTGTATTATTTTCAAAGAACTACAATAAAATGAACTTTTAGTGACATTTAATATGACTTTTAGTGACAATAAAAATTGTTACAAAATCTTTTACCGGCATTTAACACATTAGCCATTTTATGAAGTGTCGCTAAAATATTTACCGACAATTATTCTATATGCTGGTAAAGACCCTCATAATGATCAAGAAAAGTGTATAACTTTTTATGTCATTTGTTACTAGTATTTAAAATTGTCGCTAAAAGTTTAAGAAAAGATTTATAATACTCTTTAATTATCTTATTTCTAGTCGATATAGGACTTGTAAGATGAGTACAAATACTCTTTAATTATCTTATTTTTAATTGATGTGAGACTTAGAAGATGAAGGTTATCTTCTAAATATATATTCTTTAATTTATTTAATTATCTTATATCCTAAATACCAACTTAGAATAGTAAGTTATAGGCTTAACTCAACTTTATAAAACATACTTGTAAGGTGAGAGTTATCATTCACTTATATACTTTTTAATTATTTTATTTCTAGTCGATGTGAGACTTAAATTTTTTTTAACAAATAATTGTCGTTAATAATAAATTTTGATGTGATGTAAATATATTTTTAGTGACTATTATATAATAGTCATTAATATTTTTATTAAATAATAAAATAGAGGTAATTAATTTATTGTTATTAAATAATTATCGAAAATACTAAATTTTGTTATCAAAAATTGTTTCATTATATGAACTAATTGTCTGAGACATATACAAATTGTGAATGAAAGAAAAATATTTAAATTTTTTGTTATTTTCAAAACTAGAAATAGAATGGATTAGTGTCGAGTCTCCACTCACTAGTGTGTTAAGATGATTATACTATTCTCCACTAACAAGTGCTGTAGTATCCATTAACCTGTGTGATGCGATTTGTCTCCACCTGCCACCAATTTGAGTAGTGCATACTTTAATTCCTTGACATCGACATTGGCATGATAAATATTAGATACATAAGTGGTAGTAAAAGTGAAAAATAGTTATAATTTATAAAAAGTTATAAATCCATTGAAATTGGAACACATGTCCACGCTTAATAGTAGTGTGGGCCGGACCCAACATCGAAGGAATCTATAAAAAGAAGCTATGCCTCTAACACTGAAGCATACAACAACTAAGAAGGTTCTTCATATCTTATGATTTGGTAATCAGAGGAAATGATGTTGAACGCGAGCGCCATCAAAACGGCGTCGGATGGAGTCTGGCAAGGCGATAATCCGCTGAACCACTCTCTGCCATTGTTGATCGTTCAAACCATGGTCGTTCTCTTCGTTAGCCGAACCCTTGCCTTTTTCCTCAAACCCCTTCGTCAACCCAAAGTTGTCGCCGAGATTATTGTAAGTTCAAATTCACTATTTTTTTTTAACCTTAATACAAGAGAGATAAAATTACAAAAATAAAATAAAATTAATATTATAAAATCTTGTATAAAAATTAAAAAAATCTACTAACAGAGATTATAAAGAATTGAAAAAATAAATATTAAGTCTAAAAATATCTATTTCAAAACTATACAAACTAAAAAATAAAATAACTGAAACTGTAACTAAATCTGTAGAGGTTAAAAAAATATTTAAACCTAAAGGTTAAAAGGTAAAACTTAAGAAATTATAGAAATAAAAAAGGATAATCAAATGAAAAAAATCAATTGAAACAATTTTCGATTTTAGTTTTTTTAATGTAAAAACATTAAATAGAAATATGATTGAAAGGTATTACTTAAAATTTGAAGTTCTAAAATGTTAATTATTATTATGGATTTAAAAAAAGCAACTTAAAAAGGACTAAGGATTTGATAAAAGAGAAACCACTTAGTTTCTCAACTTGGTTAACATTTCTCTTGTTAAATTTATAAACAAAATATATTAGTATATATAATTTTGATTTGAATTGAGTTGTATTTTTTTAATATAAAATAAAATAATTATCTTAAACAACAATAACTTTTAAGAATTTTGCTTCAATAAAAGCATTTCCGAAGAACTATTCTTGGGTGAAAAGGTTTTTTAGAATTTTTTCACTTCTTATTTTTAAAGTCTTTTTTTTTAAATAAACTATCAATGAAGTATAACTTCCGTACACCTTTTATAACTAATTTAAATTATTTTATTATAATTTAAAATATAATTTATATATTAAAAACTTATTTATTA